GTGTGTGTGTGTGTGTGTGTGTGTGTGTGTGTGTGTGTGTGTGTGTGTGTGTGTGTGTGTGTGTGCTGGTCACATGGCAGACTGCTGCTCCTTCAGGCTGCTGTGTTTACCAACAGGAGGAGGCGGTGGAGGAAGGAGGTCATACAGTGGAGTAGCTCCACCATGGGAGTCTGTGAGCTCGTCAGCCAGTAGCAGCCTGCAGCATCAGGCAGCAGTTACTTACATCACTGACAGGACTAATCTTTAGCCTGGATGTTTGCTGATATGAGGCTGTTCAAAGGGTAAGATCTGACTTTTTACAGTTTTATGCCGATAAAGTTGAGCTTTTAGGGAGTTCTAAAGCAGCAAAACATAGTTTAATGGACGGTTTGTTTTGTAATTTCTTGGTTTTATGGACAAATGAACTAAATGACGCTTGAGTGTTTCAGTTACAGTTACAGTTTAGTGAACAGTATTTTTGATGAGCAGTGAATCTTCACGCTACTAGAGCTGAGCACTCTGAATGTGTGTGAATCAGTACGCCAGTTGTCGAATACACATATTACTATGCACATCTAAGTGGAGTGCATGTCACTAAACTTGTATAAGTACACAGTGGCGCAGTCATGAGCCACAGGCGCAGACATAGTGACCTACTGTTGGGGCTCAAAGAGCACAAGCTSTGCTGAGGGCCACGGCTGACTGTAATGTGCAACAAGGAGGTGAACAAAAAAAAAAGAGCAATTGACAATGTTGGCAATGGTGTAAAGCAATATGATGTTTACGCAGAAAAAAATGAAAGGGAACACTTTTAGTTTTTAAAAAGGCCTCTTTGTTTGTCTGTGTCACACCAACAGCAACAAGGAGCTCCAAATTTTCCTTAGTCCTTTTACGTTACTCAAATGGGTTTTTCAGGAGCTCACACAAAATACGTCAGATTGTTGAAGCAGAATGAGGAGAAAGAAGTTGTTTGTGATTACCTTAACAAAACCTGACGGGGTGTGTGCTGACATATCCACCCCACCGCCTTCGCTTTGAGACCATAACGAAGCCAAATGTAAACAAAGGGTGAGAACTCTAAAGTGTCAGATGATCTCAGTTTGTAAACACCTGTTCTGATTGGAGGCAACACCACCAAGTACCACCAAGAGACACAAATACAGCGGGTAAAATAAGTATTGAACACGTCACCATTTTTCTCAGTAAATACAGTATATTACTAGAGGTACTAATGACATGAAATTTTCACCAGATGTCAGTAACAACCCARGTGATCCATACATACAAAGAAATCAAACATAAATGTCCAGAAATGAAGTTATTTTTAATAATGTGGAATGACACAGGGAAAAAGTATTGAACACACTTACTGAAATTTATCTAATACTTTGTACAAAAGCCTTTCTTGTCAATGACAGCTTCAAGACGCCTCCTGTATGGAGAAACTAGTGGCATGCATTGCTCAGGTGTGATTTTGGCCCATTCTTCCACAAACAGTCTTCAAATCTTGAAGKTTTCGTGGACCTCTTCTATGAACTCTGATCTTTAGTTCTTTCCATAGATTTTCTGTTGGATTCAGGTCAGGTGATTGGCTGGGCCATTCCAGCAGCTTTAGTTTCTTTCTCTGAAACCAACTGAGAGTATTCTGGCATCCAAACAGTTCAATGTTGGTCTCATCTGACCAGACTATATTCTCCCAGTATTACACAGGCTTGTTTAAATGTTGTGCAGCAAACTTTAAAGGAGCTTCAACATGCTGTTTCTTCAGCAGTGGAGTCTTGCGTGGTGAGCRTGCATACAGGCCATGGTGGTTCAGTGCATTACTTATTGTTTTCTTTGAAACAAACATACCTGCTAATTCCAGGTCTTTCTGAAGCTCTCCACAAGTGGTCCTTGGCTCTTGGACAACTCTTCTGATAATTCTTTTCACTCCTCTGTCAGAAATCTTGTGAGGAGCACCTGGTCGTGGTCAGTTTATGGTGAAATAATGTTCTTTCCACTTCTGAATTATGGTCCCAACAGTGCTCACTGGAACCTTCAGAAGTTTAGACATTTTTCTGTAACCGATGCCATCATTATGCTTTGCAACAATAAGGTTGTGAAGGTCTTGAGAGAGCTCTTTACTTTTACCCATCATCAGATGGTTCTTGTGTGATACCTGGCCATCATTTGGGACTGAACCAGCTGATATTAACTTGCAATGACAAGGGGCAGGCTTGCTTTCTAATTACTGAGAGAGTTCAGCTGGTGTCTTGGCTTTCCATGCCTTTTTACACCTCCCTTTCTTCATGTGTTCAATACTTTTTCCCTGTATTATTCCACATTATTACAAGTAACTTCATTTCTGGACATTTATAGCTTGATTTCTTTGTATGTATGGATCACTTGGGTTGTTACGACATCTGGTGAAAATTTCATGTCATTAGCACCTCTAGTAATATATTTACTGAGAAAATGGTGACGTGTTCAATGCTTATTTTACTCGCTGTAAATTAACCATCTATCCATTTTATGTTACTTACCTGTGCTTGAGAGGGAAACCCAAACATCCCTCTGCCCAGTGACACTTCCAGCTCCTCTTGAAGGAAGGCATTTCCAGGCAAAAGAGGATATACACCACTGACAAAAAAAGGTTAGGGCTATTTAAGGTTTAGTTCATCAATGTTATGTGTCATCTTGTTCTAGTGATGTCAAAATGTGAACAACATGAGGACTGTTTTAACAAATTCTGATTGAAACAGGAAATTGATCATCCCTGTTGTGATTTTTGCTGTCTATGTTAGAGAACATGAAGRGTTCTGAAACATTAACGGTTGGGTGTGTGCATTTAAGGGTTTAGAGAAGGTCACATTATGTTTACCTGTAAAGGTTTTACTGCATTTTAGGTTCATTCTGACAGTTCACCCAAAAGCCAAATATCCTTTCTGTGAGTTGAGTAATCCCTCCTGCAATTCATGCCTCTGCTCTAGTGTCTCCTCCCTACACCTCACCTTTTTCTCTGACTGATTTCTCCCCCCTCAGGAGAAGCCCATTTTAATCCCTTGTATCCAGGGTCTCGTTCTTTCTGTGCTGATCCATGTCTCATCACTACAGGTGAGGGACGGAACATAAACCGACCAGGAAATCAAGAGTTTTGCTTTTTGGTTCAACTCTGATCAGAGTAACGCTATCATTACTGCAGAGGAGACCCCAATTCATTGACCCATCTTGCTTCATTCTACAATCACAATACAAGACACTCAAACTCCTCCAGCTGAGGCAAAGACTCACATTTTCTTGGATGAGAACTGTGGCCTCGGAATAAGAGAAGCTGGCTCTCATCCTGCTTCCCACTAAAGATGTTGGCACTGACCATGTGTTAGCCCTGTGATGGACTGGTAGACTCTGGGTCAGACTCTGACTCCAGCATGTAAGGCTGGATGGAAAGGTCTTCTGTTGTTGCAAACKTTTAATTCATTTGTAAATAAAATGTTTCTGTGTCTCTATGTAGACATCCCCCCACACACACACAGCCAGTTACATTATTGCCTGCATTTCATGACAGTGGCAGATACAAAAGAAAAGTGAGGGATTAGAAAGAAAAGAAAAGAAACTAAGAGCCTTTTTTGTTATCAGGAAATATTTTCTCTCATCTCCACAACAAGAGTAAAGCTCTGACGTTTCAGAATGATCTCATTGGCATCTGCTTGTCGACTTCTTTGTGCTTTGGCATATTTGTTTTAAATAGACGTCCACATCGTTCAGTCAGCTGAATGAGGATTTAGCAGTGCATTGTGGGAAAAGAGGGCCACTGTGGGATTTTTTTTCGGACAGAGTTTAAACCTCGGTCAGCTGCAATCAGGAGAGAAAAACAAAGTGATGTCACAGGCCAGCATTTCATTTACTCTGAAGCTTGCGTCAATGTTTGAACTCTCTCTCTCTCTCTCTCTCTCTCTCTCTCTCTCTCTCTCTCTCT